CAGTGTTTTCTGAAGTTGAGTAGTCCTTTTAATAGCCTTGAAAGATATTACTGAGGATTCTTATTCAACTAAAGAAATCGATGGCAAAATGTTTGCAGGTAGAAGGAGACCCTGTTATGCGGTGTTTAGTTGCAAGAAATGCACTTTGCATTCAATTCATCTTCAAAATTTTGTACCCTAGTGCAATTAGGAAAACAGCAGAGATCATTCCATAATGTTCACTATTATACATGCTTAGATAGCTAGTGGTGTCCAGAAGAGCTCTTGAATCCTTCTCTTTTGATCCTGAACAATCAAACATGACATGAATAGAAGAGTATTTCCATGTTGCTTGCTGTGGTAAATCTCTGATACTCAAACACCCAAAGTCAAATATCTCCAACTCTTCTGTTACCAATAGACTCTCTGACTACACTGCTGCTTCCCTTTGTTCTTTATAAGCTTTTCCTTCTTTGACTGTATATGATATGCTTGATACTTTCTCACAGAAATATTCATTTTAGTAGTTTCTCTTTTAAGAGTCTTTTTTGGCTTTCTCTACTGTATGTTCTGTATTGTGTATGGGATTCTTGTCCTCCAGAATATTGGCTGCTGCTCATCAGTAACCTTGAACAGGTTTCAGATTTGTACGTGTGGATCTGTACAATGTATGTTCTATTCTTTCTTGGCTGGCCTTCTAGGGGTTTGTATAATTTTGCTATCAATACCATTACAAAAAGTTTAAAATACACAATTCAAGCTTAGGTTTCCATATAAGGTATACATCTTATGCCATGGGAAATTAAATGCATTAACAGCCTATTACCCTGACACTGAAGTTTATAACCACTTGTATTTTCCAGTGTCTTGTCTCATTCTTCACCATCTGGACATTTTTCATGAGGCTTTGATCACATTTCCTCCCCCCTTTCTCACAAGATACTACATCAGGGCAGTTATTTGTCAACCATGATTCGAGTGCAGTGAACTGACCTGAAATTGATAGTCAATATACAATTGAAACAACATTACTACAGCTTGGAGCAAATACATTAATTCTTTTTTTCTAACCTCTGTTGCTATCACATCTTAAGTGATCTTATTTTTTTTATTACATATTACGTATTACATAATTACCATCCAACTCTCAATTATTTACAGAGGAAACAAAAATGCTCCCCAAAATTCACTATTTTTGAAAAGCTTAAAAAAAGTTCTATAATTCTTCACTCATCAGACAGCTATTTCTTAGCATAATAATAATAGAAATGGTGTTAAGCACAAGACTCTGATACAGTTTGAGTTTATAATAAAACTCAAGAAAATTAATTCCAGAACTTTATAAAAGAATGTATAAACATGCAATTATTTTAGGATTTTAAAAAGAAAAATGTATACGGAGCATGAGTGTGGAAAAGGTGCTGCCTCGAGTGTTTCACCTTAAATGTGGTGGCGTTTGTTTTTCTTAGAGCATACTAAAACACTGCTAGTAATGCCAATGTAGATATAAATTACCTTGGGATAATGGATGATGGTGTAGGGTATGAAGACTTTCCTCTCTGGGCTACAGGTTCCAGACCAGACCAGACCAGCTCAGTTGAGACCAAAAATCACTACCTGGCTGTGAAGTATGAAATGAGTTGAAAGTCTCTGTTCAATTCCTACTCTGCTGATGTCCCCATCACAAAAGCCAACACTACACTTACACTCATAACCAATGTGGGGGGGCTAATGATCTCAGCAGAGAGACCAAGACTTGAATGGGCATGGAGACTGAGCTACCTCCATCTCTCTTGTCCTCCCCCTGTAGGCTAGGGTTGAAGCATGTTGGCAGGGCTGTTTTGGAGAAGCCTTCACTGTTGGACCAATATCTCTCTTTGTGGCTACGTGACTTTATTCTCAAGTGCTTTTCACAAGCATTTAAATTCACTAAAATAAAAAGGGGACAAACAGGGCAGCATATACCATATTTACCACTGGTTATATGATGGCAGCTTTATTAGCACTAGAAAGGACTTAGCCCTGTGTTATCTAGAATCTAGATATCACATCTAGAATTTCTCCCCATTGTCTTCAAGAAAAATAGCTCTTGCATTGAAGGTATTATTCATTGCCCAGCTTTGAACAGAAGCACTTAAAGGTTGGTTTTTTTCACTAGAGTCAGGCAGTATATCTTTTACAGAGTAATCAAAACAGTCAAGCAAGCAGTATTTAGAAGCTTATAAAAGTCATTTTCTATGCACCAAAGTTAGCATACATTTATGGTTAAAAACTTTCAGTTAATGACCTGAAGAAATTTTCTGCAGCTTTTTATTGAACTTGCTGATCTTTCTCACATCGATCTGCTGTTTCTGGAATACAATAATTCATGGAGAAGCTGTGCTGAAATTTTAAAATTGAAAAATGAGGATTTGAATGGGGAAGAAATGAATTGGCTAAGTAGGAAGTTTGTACAAAGGGAAATAGAAGTCAGGATAAAAGGTTCATATCATGGCTGATCTATAAAGGTACTATGCAGAAAAATTTCTTCCCACACGGACTGAAATATTGTCATATTGGATCAGACCAGTGGTCTATCCATTCTAATAGCCTGACTCTGACAATAGCTGTTACTAGGTGCATCAGTGGAAGGTGCAAGAAATCTTGCAGAGTGCAATTATAAAATAAGCAACCTCTTGGGGAAGATTCCTCCCAATTCCTTCCAGTCTGGTTTATGCCCAGAAGTGAGTTATTAAAAATAGTATCCTATCTAATGTAATTGTTGGTACTTTGGTCTGTTTACATGTCTAATCCTCTTTTTGAATCCTACCAAATTCTTGCTGTCGGTGATGTCTTGTGGCAAATTGTTCTGCAGATTAATTATGAGATTAAAATCAAGGACTCTTTCCCCTACATCTTGATATAAAATTCCTCTTTTCACTTCACTGTCCCTAGGATTTGTGATACTTTACTGAATTAGAGCAATTAAGTAGATGCAGATATTGTTCCTAAGCAAGCACAGGAGGAAGTATACCACCCAGCACATTATATACAATATCTGCAATAGTATATACTGTCATTGTGGGTGCTTAGTGCGTCACATGTGTAGTAACATGCCCTTAAAAGAATGGAAGAACGGCCCTCCCCATAGTGAAGGCTGGGCTCAGAGACCAAAGGTGGCACTAAATGGAGAGTGCAAGAGGGGAGTGTATTGGAATTGCTATGTAGAAAGGTCTTCTTTGAGTAGTGTCCCTGTGGGTGCTCCATGTTAGGATGTGAGTGTGCCCAGGCAGTCTTGATGGGAGATTTTTGGCAGCAATGTCCATAGGTCCACATCTGCACCCTAGACACCGTCATGCTCTGGTACTAGGGCATACAGGGACGGGTGGACCTGCTGCCACTCCAGTTCCTTCTCAGCTGCCTATGGCTTGCAACAGTGTGTCGCAGTGTTCACTAGCTAGCCTCACCACTACAATGTCTTTATTTTCTCAGTATTTTTGTTTAGCATAATTTGTGCTTTTGAATAGGTTCTCCCCCATCCCATCCCCGACCTTCCTTTTGCCTGATTGAGGCTTTTGATCCCTGGTCTTGAGCACAGGTTATGCCCAAGACACTAGGCTTCAATCCCTGCCAGACGTGCCATAGGTCTTTCCCTGCAGTGATAGACATGCAAGCTGCTTCCGCTGCTTCAGAGAGTCTCACATCCCCTCTAAATGTAAGATCTGCCCGGGGTTTGAATAGATCTAAGAAATTGAGGGAGGAATAATTTCTAGTGGAAACTCTGGATGGTCTGTCCCTTTCCTCAAACTACAGGACACCAAGTAGGATTTCACTGTACTCCCTTTGGAGCCTTTTAAAGCTGTCCTTTTCCAGGCAGAGGAGACACTTATCTATGGGAAGCTCACCTGCTGCAGTGCTAGTCTCTTTGGCCTTATCTATACTGACTTTTGTCTTTAAGTATTCTTCTATTGCAGAACCAACTGCTCAGCTCCACTGGAGGGGTAGCATTACTGTAATCTCTACTATAGAGAAGGTACTGGTGGCCACTACTGTTCTACCACTATATCATTTAGGCTTTGAGCGGAGATAGATAACATGGTTGTCAAAAACGCCAACTCCTTGTCTTCTCTAGAACTCCTACCATTGTTACCACTAGTGGAGTCGCAAAGGTAAGAAACTTTAAGAAAAACTCTGAATAGACACAGCCTTCCATTTCTGGGAGCAGGAAATTGAACTTAAACCACCTGCATGGTGGTGCAGAGTCTCTGAGGAACTAGTGGTCATTCTAGAATTCTCCCTTGGGACCCAAATGGTCTCCTCTCAGTGAGGGCAGTGCAGCCCCAGGCATTTGTTGGGTGACAATTGACTTTCCATTCTGCATGCATTTATAGATAACTGTGACAAAGTGTGGATTTTCCCTTGTTATGTTGTATGTGAGTCTTTACTGTTTTGCATGAATACTGTGTGTGCCTCAGTTTCCCTGTGTGCTGCACCAATACCTCGGTGGTGGGAATAGGGCTGACTTTGGCTGAGACCAAGGAGGGGGATGCAACCAGGTGACGACCAGGTGACTCATTGCCCGGGAAGCGAGACAAAGACAAGGAGGAGGAGCAATGGGGATGTCTGAGGTTGGGTTGCTGGAAGCTGGCAATCTGCTTGTGGGGACAGGAAGAGGGAGAGTCTAGGGTTTCTGGCCCAGCACTCCCCAAGATGGACTTGGCTGAAAGTCACTGATTTCTGTGAGAGGTACTGCATTCAGACCAACAGCTGTTTTCCAACCAACCTTGGCTCACTAACTGAGCTGTCCACTGGGTGAAGACGGGAGCTGGCCCTCCCATCAGGTGTTCCGCATTCAGAGTAACAGGAAACACTGCCCAGGCCCTGGAGGGAGAGGTCAGAGACATACTGGCTTTAGGGGTGATCCAGCCATCCACCAGTCCCGGGGCTTCTCCCGTGGTGCTTGTTCCCAAGAAAGATGGGTTGATCCGATTCTGTGTGGCCTATCGGAAGCTCAATGCCATCACCGTGTCTGGTGCCTGCCCCATGCCTAGGCCTGATGAGATCCTAGACAAGTTGGGGGTGACTCGGTACCCCACAACCAGGGATCTCACCAAAGGCTACTGGCAGGTGCCTTTGGATCCAGATGCCAGATTGAAACCTGCTTTTGTCACCCCTTTGGGGCTGTACAAATTCCTGGTCCTACCTTTCGGCCTCAAGGAGCTGCTGGTCACCCACTAGCACCAGGTCGATCAGTTACTGAGGGGGATGGAGAATTTTACAGGTCATTAGCCAGACCTGGGAGGACCATGTGTCCCAGGTGAAGAGGGGGCTGAGTCGCCTCCAGGATGCAGGGCTGACTGTAAAAGCTGGAAAGTGCAAGCGGGGGATGGCAGAGGTGTTGTACTTGGGCCACAAGGTGGGGAGCAGCTGCCTAAAGCCAGAGCCGGACAAGATGGAGGCGATCAGAGACTGGCCTGCTCCCCAGACTAAGAAACAGGCCCAGGCCTTTATTGGGATGGCAGGGTACTACCAGAGGTTTGTGCCCCGCTTTAGCTCTGTGTCAGCTCCCATCACTGAGTTATGCAAGAAGGGTAAGCTAGACAAGCTGGTCTGGACTAGGCAGTGCCAGAGGGCTCTCTGCATGCTGAAGGAGGATCTGGTCAAGGGCCCAGTGCTGGGAAACCCAGACTTTGACAAGCCATTTATGGTGTTCACCCATGCCTCAGACACTGGGCTGGGCGTGGTGCAGATGTAGGGTGACCAGATCACTGACAGGAAATATCGGGACGCTGGTGGGAGGGGCAAAAAAAAAACGTTTTGCAAGTGCTGGGGGAATTAGCAGGCCCTGGCCATGCCGTGGACCTGCCCCCACTCAGGGCCCCGGGCACATGCAGCACGTCCCACCATCCCGCAGGGAAGGAGCCGCTGGAGCTAGAGGCGCGGGGCTCCGGACCCCGGCAGCGGCGGGGGAGAGCGGCTCAGGGCTGCATGAGTGGTCACGTAAAGTTTATCGGCTCGGGGTGGGCCCCAGCCAGCTCCTCGCCCCTGTAGGGGGGTAGCGTC